AATAATTATATAATTATTACTTATCATCTTATAACTTAGTTGTAAAGGACTGTATAAATAAGTTCTTTTCAATTTTAAAAATATATATATTTATATATTTTTGATTTGATGTTTGCGCATTGCCTGGCCTACCACCTTCCCACGTTTCATCTACTAAGATAATTGATATATTTCCCTCAAAGGCCAATAATTTTGGAAGGAGGTGTTGGCTGAGGATAGACAGAGGAAAATTAGGAGTCAATTGACTGTGTGTGTTTTGAAGGACGGGTGTTTGATAATTTGTCTGAAAAAAAGAAGGATTGGGGTGTATAGTGTCTTGGTGGTGTGTGGTCATGGCAGCTCGAAGACTCTCCTCCTTGCTGTCTCGTTCACTCTCTGCTTCTTCTTCTTCTTCTTCTTCTTTGTTTTCCTCTCTGGGTAACCATCTAACTCTGCTATCTCCCCTGCCTTTTGGATGTTCTTTGTTTTCTTCAATTTTGTGTTTGTTTCATGTTGTTTACCTGTCTCTACGATGTCTGGTTGATTTTGCTGCATAAATATAAGGAAAGGTTCAGGCTTGATTGTTTCAACCCTTTGCTTTTGCAATCTTTTTGCTTCTTTTTTTTTTTTTTGAAATTTCATCTGTTCTGTTGCCAATCTCATGCAGGGTTAAGTTTGTGTGTTGGTAAATATGCTTAATTTATTCTAGAAAAGAAAAAAAATGATGAAACCCCATGATGAATGCCACAAGCTTTGTTACAGAAAAGGCAGAGGAAGAAATAAAGGCTAAAAGTAGCCTAAAAAGCAAACATCTTTGAATCTTTGTATGCACAAAGTTCTGCAATTGATATAGGAGTAATATAAAAGTGAATATCTTTGATGAATGAGACCGAATCAGATTTAAGTCTTTGAATATAAAAGAAACATTATGCTATTCAACTTGAACTAAGTTCTTCCATAAAAATGTTTCTCAATGAATTTTCCTTTTGTTTCCTTTCTCAATGAGTGTTGACCATAAAAGTTTTTTTCAGGGAAAAATGCTGGCAGGAGAGCAAGTATCCAAAGGTTTAGTACCGCTGCAGTGGCTGAGGAACCTATCACTCCACCTGTTCAAATTAGTTATACTCAGCATGTGATTAATGGGAAATTTGTAGATGCAGCATCTGGTAATCATTTTTATCAAATAAGAGTCCATCTCCCCTTTTAACCAATCAAATGATTTGTGATTGATGAAGCTCATGTCTGGAATTATTAATATTGAAAACAGGAAAAACATTTCCCACCTATGATCCCCGTACTGGAGAAGTGATTGCTCATGTAGCTGAAGGTGATGCAGAAGATATTAACCGAGCTGTTGCAGCTGCACGCAAGGCATTCGATGAGGGACCATGGCCAAAGATGACTGCCTATGTAAACTTCTCTATTTTTGTTTATCTACTTCTTTGGACGTTGACCAGCAATAGTAGTACTGTAACGTGGATCATATTTGATTCTTAATGGTTTTGTTCCAGGAAAGATCACGGATAATGTTGCGCTTCGCTGATTTAGTTGAGAAACACAGCGAAGAGCTTGCAGCTTTAGAGACATGGAATAATGGGAAGCCTTTTGAACAGTCCTTCAAATCTGAATTACCAATGCTTGTTCGTCTGTTTCACTACTACGCTGGTAAGGTCATTTTGATAAGTTCTATGTCAATTTGCTTGGTCTTGTACATATTGAATTTGTCATGACATTCTCTGCAATATATTCCAGGTTGGGCAGATAAGATCCATGGGCTAACAGTACCAGCTGATGGAAATTACCATGTGCAGACATTGCATGAACCAATAGGTGTCGCAGGACAGATTATTCCATGGAATTTTCCTCTTCTTATGTTTGCGTGGAAAGTTGGGCCTGCTCTTGCGTGTGGTAATACTATTGTCTTAAAGACTGCTGAGCAAACTCCTCTGACTGCCCTCTATGTCGCAAAGCTGTTTCATGAGGTAGGCTCCTAATGATTATTTGTATTTAACACCATTATGGAAAGTACAGTGAAAATGTATTTGCCTTGCCTCAATATCCTTCTTGAAATCCGATCTGAATTCATTATGTCAGGCTGGTCTACCTCCAGGTGTTTTGAATGTTGTTTCTGGCTATGGTCCGACAGCTGGTGCACCTCTTGTGAGTCATATGGATGTAGACAAGGTATTCTAAGGATTCAAATGCATTCACTGACTTCAGTTTAGATTCAAAAGGGCATGTTAGGTTATCTGACATCCTACAATGTGAGGAATAAACCTGACATGATTACATGAATAATCACTGCTACAGCCTCTGGGCAACTCAATTGTTCTTATTTACACTTCTGACTAATTACAGAAACAGAGAATTTTTATGGAGAACTTACAATTGAATTTATGCGGTTTCAATTGCAGATTGCTTTCACAGGATCAACTGACATTGGTAAGATTGTGCTAGAATTGGCTGCAAAAAGCAATCTTAAGCCAGTAACGCTGGAGCTTGGTGGGAAATCACCTTTCATAGTATGTGAAGATGCTGACATTGACCGTGCTGTGGAGGAGGCACATTTTGCTTTGTTCTTCAACCAGGTTTGATGAGTTCTTCCCTGCAATGAAATCATAATCATAGGCATGTTAACTTACAAAAGCTATGCATGGCTTGAATGCTGGATGTCTGCAGGGGCAATGTTGCTGTGCTGGTTCACGAACTTTTGTTCATGAACGTGTATATGATGAGTTTCTAGAGAAAGCAAAGGCACGTGCTATGAGACGCACTGTTGGTGATCCCTTTAAGAATGGAATCGAGCAAGGTCCTCAGGTACTCTCTGTCCCCCCTTCCTTGCACCTCTCTGAGTCTAAGAAACATTGAAATTTAGAATCAAAACTGCAAAGGAGCATTGATCAATTTAGAAGAAGTAAGAGTTGCAGAAGAGTAGCTTGTTCATTATCCAAAATTACCTGGTAACTCGTTAGCTGCAGAAGCTGATGTGATTCTAGCTGTTAAGTAATATTGTTTTGGATCTTATGTAAATCTCAGATTGACTCGGAGCAATTTGAGAAAGTCCTAAGGTACATAAGATCTGGCATTGAAAGCAAAGCAACCCTGGAATGTGGCGGTGACAGATTTGGCACTAGAGGCTACTTTGTCCAGCCTACTGTTTTTTCAAATGTTAAGGTATCATTCGTTCATCCTCTGGTTACCGATTTTACTGGATAGTTTTCATGTCACCTGACATTATCATTACCCTTCTATGGAATAGGATGATATGTTGATTGCGCAAGATGAAATATTTGGCCCAGTGCAATCCATTCTAAAGTTCAAGTAAGTGAATTATGAACATCTCCATGTAATTGGTATAAACTTCATGGAAAACAAATTCATGTAGCAGTTTTCGTTGGATCCTAAAACTGTCATTCTATACCAGGGATCTTGATGAAGTCATTCAAAGGGCAAATACAACGCGTTATGGTCTAGCTGCTGGAGTTTTTACCAGAAGTGTGCAGACTGCCAACACCCTGACTCGTGCACTGAGGGCTGGAACTGTGTGGGTGAATTGTTTTGATGTATTTGATGCTGCAATCCCTTTTGGTGGTTACAAGATGAGTGGAATCGGCAGGGAAAAGGGCATCTACAGCCTCCACAATTACTTGCAGGTGAAGGCAGTTGTTACTCCTGTGAAGAACCCAGCATGGTTGTGAATTTTCTGAGTTCCTTTATTTGAAGAATTGTGTTCTAAGTAAGTAAAGCAGACTGATTTCAGTTTGTAATCACGAAAAGGGTTTGAGAAACTTAATCAAGAGGACCT